CACGAGCCCTCGGCAAAGAATGGCCCTCGGCAAAGACAGGCCCACGGCAAATCAAATCTTTGCCGAGGGCCGCGGCCCTCGACAAAGATACCCTCGGCAAATTAGGCCCGTTGGGTCACGGCGGCCATTCCCCGTCAAGCTTTGCCGAGGGCCACCCGTTAGGCCCTCGGCAAAGGTTTTTTTTTCTGTGAAACCAGGATATTCGGCAAAAAAAAATTTAAGTCTTTGCCGAGGGCCCTAGACCAGGCCCTCGGCAAAGATTTTTTTAAAACCAGTTTTTCGGCCAAAATTTTTTTTTATCAATCGCCTTTGCCGAGGGCTCGAGGCTAGGCCCTCGGCAAGGCTCGAGGCTAGGCCCTCGGCAAAGAAGCCCTTTGCCGAGGGCCAGGATAGGCTCTCGGCAAAGATTTTTTTTTTAAATTCTTTGCCGAGGGCCACGGGCCAGGCCCTCGGCAATTTTTTTTTTGGTTTTTTTAGCCTAGTTTTTTGGTGGTGCTACAATACATTATTTTGAACTCAATTTTAAAATTTAGTCCAATTTTGATTTTGTTTTGTATATTTCCTTAATTTATTTTGATTCTTTGTTTTTTTCGAATATGTCAAATTTGAACTGCAGGTGCATGGAATATTGCAATGTAGTGTTTTGAAAAATGTTATTCATGTTAATTGGTGCATGTTGAGTCCCTATCCACGAACTCGCATTAAATTTTCACGCATCTTGTTCGCGTAACATGACGACCGACTTGCTAGAAAAGTGTTTTAAAATTATATAAAATCGATACGAAGTCCGAAAATCACGAAACTTGGCGAGATGTCATGTTATCGCATGTGTAGGCTGTGGTAAAAAATTGAGAAGGCTTCGAGTGAGTTGCGACGTCGGATGCCTGAAACCCAGACATCTCCACATAGACTACTATAGGTCGGTACTTAGGCAGTCCCTCCCCAAGCCTCAAGCAAGACAGATTACGCTGACCCGGGACCAGTACCTTGAGGTAGGCGAATAACATTCATAATAATTCGTTTAGATATTAAGTAGGTTCAATTTCATCTTCTTATATGTCAAATACTCGATGACTTGTAGGTGATTCCCTGGTGGTGCCGATCGTATCCCGAGTGCTGGGCCATGATCGTGGACAAGTGGTTATCACAGGACTTTGTTGACACGCACGAGAGGCAGCGGGAACAGCGTCTGATGAGGCAAGGTCCAACTCACCATCAAGGCAGCCGTAGCCTCCCCGGATACAAACAAGCATACGTAAGTGATTTCTTTCATTTATTTTGACGCTCAACTCTACTTGATTTCTCACCATCTTCCCATCTTTCTCGCAGGAGGCTGCGCACCCGGGCGAGGAGGTCTAGGAGTTCTCTGCGTGGGCTATGTCCCACATGGGCAGGGCATCGTCCTCTGTCTTCTTCGACCCGGCTGCCCCGCCCCAGGTGTACTCCGACCCGAACGTGTACACTAAAGTCCAAGAGTACACGTCAACGGTAAGGGAGATCTATAGGGAAGATTACAATGTGCGCACTGAGCCCATTGATGCAGAGGTGATCATGAGGCTTGGAGGAGGCAAGAAGCATGGGCGGCTATGGATTGCAGACGGCGCCATCAACTCCACCACTGTTCCCTCCCTCGACGCTATCCGAGCACGGAGCACGAGCTCCGGCCAACCCATACGTCCACGACCTTCTCCAAAGATCTGCAGCGAGGTCCAAGCACCTGTAATTCTGTTTTACTCATCGTGACGTAGATATTTACATACCTAAATTAGATTTGCATTATCGATACATTGGAGTGAAATATTGTAGGGCGAGCTGCAAGAAACAAAAAGGCAAAGTCAAGAGCGAAGCGGAGTCGACCGCATACAACCGCAGCCCACAAGGTCGCGTTCGAGGTCAGGCAGCAGAAGCAGATGGCGGAGATGATGGTGATCATGCAAAGTCTTGGGCAAGCATCGGGTGTACCTGTAGTTTTTAGCTCCTCCACCTCCTACTCCTGCAGCTACTCCTGTAAGTATGAAAGTTCACTTTTCGCTTGTGCTTTGCATGTATGTTGGCCTTCGTGCCGTTGTGGATGTCGGCGTTCGTGCCGTTGTGGATGTCGGCGTTCGTGCCGTCGTTTCTTGCAGGTTTTGGAAACCTCCCCGTGCAGGGGAGGTGCTGCCGAAATTTTCAATTGAGTCTAATCTTTTTGTATTCCTATAATACTAGATGCAATCTCTAAGTTCTAAAATTATTTTCCCGGATTACTCACACATGCAATCTCTGCTCCTTTGTGCAGCTTCCGTCCGCGGGTTCTAATGAATCCGCTAGTGCGTCACCGGGTGATCCTGCTTTTCCTTCACCATCGTCTCATAGGCTAGCTTGATGAGGACTCGTGCTAGGTGATGTGGTTGGACTTTAGCGTGATTTGTGATTTATGGTTGTGACTTGTGCTTGGATTTCATTAACTTGTCGTAATAAACATGTGAATGATGATGAACATGTGACTTGTCATTGTAATATATTGTGATTTGTGGTTCACAATTATGGTTGTGATATATTGTGAGAAAATGGGTTCTGTGTGATATATATATATGTATATATATGAAATGCTTGTGTCGATGGAATGCAAAAACAAAAAAAAAAAATTAAATTTCTGCCTCTTTGCCGAGGGCAATGACCAAGGCCCTCGGCAAAGAAGGGTCATTTGCCGAGGGCCCAAGCAATAGCCCTCGGCAAAGATTTTTTGGAAAAAATCTCGACAATTTCTTTTGCCGAGGGCAGTGGAGCAGGCCCTCGGCAAAGGGTTAAAAAATTCAAAAAACCATTTCTTTGTCGAGGGCGGTCCTCAAAGCAAATAATTTTTAAAAATCCTGAAAATTTCTTTGCCGAGGGGCCAGGAGGAGGCCCTCGGCAAAGGTTTTTTAAAAAAAAATAAAAAATTATTTGCCGAGGGTGGGCCTCGGCAAACAAATTCAAAAAACCATTTCTTTGCGAGGGTGTCGGCCTCGGCAAAAAAAACCACCTAACGGCGCCTTGGGCGCTGACGGCTTTTTTTTTCTTTGCCGAGGGCCGTCCTGACCCTCGGCAAAGACCCCTTCGCCGTCTAAAAATTCCCTAAGGGGTCTTTGCCGAGGGCTAGGGCTAGAGGCCCTCGGCAAAGCATGCGCCTCCAGCAATGGGACGTCAGGGTGCTAGCCACGACATAAACCGTGAGAAGGTCGTCGTGCGCCGCTGACAGGCACTGGACGAGCTTCGCCTCCGTGCGTGGTCGAACGCCGAGGCGAAGGAGCGAGTTCTCCGGCAGGCCCAGCATGTGCGTCTCAGAGTCCTTGCTGAACGCCCGGGCAGCAGATGTTGTCGAGCGTGAGTCGGGGGAGTGCATCTTTTCAGGTTTCATTGGTCACCTCGTTCAAATGCATGGGCAGCAGCCTGAGGTGGATGGAGCGCCACAACAACCAGTGGTGAACTCGGGCACGGTTGTCTTAAGCGGTGCAATCCACGTCTCGCCGTCGGAGTTAGTTGAAGAGTAGCGTAGTAGCATTTGTAGCTATGGTGGTCCATTGTCAAAAAAAAATAGCCGCTATAAATTTAACATGTCGGTGCACAAGTATATGAATTACAAAACAAAATTAAGAAAAAAGGACATACAGAGTTCGAGTAAAGAAGAAAGGATATCATGATCAACAGGTTGTGCGTTGCTAGCCTTGCCTTTGACTCCGATGTCTGGCCGGCCGGTGGCCGGCCGGTCGGCAGCTGCTCTGCTGCTGCGAGACCCCGAGTACGAGTTTGGACGGTAGGAGTCACAACTCCGAAGACCAAGGTGCAGGTCATGGAGATGCGGACGTCGCTTGGACTTTGCTTTCAGGCTCGATCGGGATTCGGCGGCAGAAGCACATAGGCCAGCCCAGCAGAGTCCAAAGCCGAATACTGAGGGAGTGAGGGATACTACACTTTGGGCCAAATCGACAAGGTGGTCCGTGGCCCACCCTGTAGCTCCGCCAAGATGCCGTTGTCAAGCAGGTCGCACGTGACGGTGACCAGCCTGCCGCGGCACGCGCGCCACCCCGTCCGGACACCGCGAAGATGCAGGTTTGGTAGGTTTCCCACGATCATGAACCAGTTGTCTTAGGTTTTACATGATCAAAAAGTTATTGCCTTGTACGGTAACACAATGAGTCAACGTAACCAATGATCCAAAGCCATACAACATTAGTCTTAGGTTTGACATGATCAAAAATCTATTGCCATGCATTCGCAAAAAAAAAAAATCTATTGCCATGTATGGTAACACAATGAGTCAACTTATGATCAAACGAGTAGAACAAGCCCACCATCTACTACAATTTGATTTCTGTTCACCTACAATACAACATAGTATACTTTGGTTTTACCTGATGAAAAAGCTCTTGCCTTTTTATGACAATACAATGAATCAACCAATGATCAAAAGAGTGGAACAGGACATAACGAAATCCACTAAGGATTTATTGACTATATGAGCATAGCATAACAGGGACCAGATAGTCATAAGAAAAGAAAAGGACTTGTGTTACAACTAAGGCATACATTCTATATTGCTAACTTTTGCTTGTCTTTATAAGACTAGTTAACAGGCACATGCGGCACTCACGTGCGGCTTGCACGTGTCTTAATTTTTTTTTCGTTTCTATTTGTATGTGTTTTTTTTTTGAAACATTCCATATTTTCCAGGTTTTTTTATTCCTTTATGATTTTTTCCCCAGTTCTACTGTCCTTGCCGTTAGTGTATATATTTTTTAGTGGAAGCCGTTAGTTTTTTTGTTCATCAATTGATCTATAGATTTGCTTGTGCTGAAATTGTTTCAGCTTGGAACTGTTGCGCATCTGATGCAGCCGCTGCTCATCCATAGCTGAACGGGACTTTTATTTTTTAATTTTAATTGGCCCAAGAGCCTACAGACCAACTGGTAGCAGCTAGCAGGCTAACGTTGTCAAGGCCCAGTTGTCCAGAATTGTTCCTTTCGTCATCCAATTTATCTTTAGTGGCGCATCCCAATCACTGTATTCCCCATTTGTCTCCAGCTCCCCTCGTCGACATTTTGCTGTACTCCGCCCCAGCTCGAATCCTCCAACCCACCATGGCTTCTTGCCGTAGATGCCGGGTTAGAATGATTGCCGGGCAGATCACCGCCGCCGGCGTTGTCCGCGCCGCCCAGGCGGGGAAGAAGGGGAGCCGGGCAGAGCACCTTCGCCGGTGCTGTCCGTGCCGCCCAGGGCTTGCTGCCGGAGCTGTTGGATCCGCCCGCAGGACACCGGGGCAGGGCTGCGACTGGTATGTCCGCGCTGCCTGCTGGCCGCCGGGTCTGGGACGCGATGCCTGCTTGTCGTCGGTGCAGGGCCTTGCCGCCAGGCAGGTTGTCGTTGCTGGCCGCGCCGTCCGGAGTCCGCCAGGGTTGGACCTCCTTCTCGGCTGGGAGTTGACAAGGGCGGCTATGTCTCCTACTCGGCGAGTCCAGTGGTGGCTCCAGCAGCTCGCATCTTGTTGTCGTGCTCTATTTCATGGTTAGTTCAGGTAATTTCAGTTAAATGTCAATGAAACCGTTTGAAATCACAGGCAAAACATTGTTTGAATTTTTTTTTTGTCAAAAATCAGGGATTCAGTCGTGTTTTTCAAAAATTTCATTGATACAGTCTGTTGTTACCATTTTTAGAGATGACCTGAGGAAGAGGGAGGAGGCTTGGTGGGGGAGCAATGGCGAGGGCGGCCTGGGCCACTTGGTTGCTTGTCCTCATGTGCTTCGTCGCTTGGACCCTGTGCAAATCGTGGTCGCCAAGGCCACCGACGCGAATGATGGTGGGCGATACACTGAATAATCTTGCCTTGTCTCTGATCGCATTTCTGCCTTCCCTTATGTCCTTCTCATGTTTCTTGTTTGCTGCGTGGCTTCCTTCTATGGCCGCCCTGGATTTGTTTGGGCCAGGAGCTTCGGATTTCGCTTTGCTGCGGCATTCGGTGTATGGTTTCAGTTTGGTTGCTGCTCTGCAGGTTCCATTCCATCATCTGAATCTCGTGTAGCCTGACTGCGTAGTACCCATTACTGAGCGGCAGAGCCTACTGAGTGGCACAGCTAGGTTTTTGGTAGCTGTAGTCAAGATGCTCTTGTTTCACATTTTAATTTGTACCTAAACACAATAATATATTACTATAAATAGCTGTCTTTTATAAAAGGTCACTATGCTTGCATTTTTCGACATTGGCTGAGTTCAATAGAGCTGTCAAACAGCAAAAATAAGAATGGCATTATTTTTTATTGCTTATGTCAACATCTCAAGTAAATCTCTAATATATCCGTCGATGTTCTCTGTGCATTCATTCCATTCGTATTTGAGGATATCGATGAGAAACTTCATCCTTAGTATTTTGAATCCTGTTAATAAATTGATATCATAAATATGTTTGAGTAAAACAACAATAATATTTTGTTGGCATTATATACTTGCCTACCATGCAGATCTTTGTTTGAAATCCTTGACCATTCCACTCTTGCATGAAGTTTAGTATCAAATATCCCGTTGATTTCCTGTACACATGATATAGGTTAGTAACATGTAAGGAATTTTGAGTCGTTAATTGTAAAATATTTGGTACTATTATTTATCTTTTAGAATAGACTTACATGTTTGTTGTTTTTGGAACATAGCCTGGATAAAATCTTTTCCAATCATAAACATCGTCGTTCCAATTGTCATCTAACAATTCCATGGCTCTATCAAAAAAAAATTCCTATTTTTTGTATTCTATGCATTTGTTTGATGGGTTCTATTTTTTTTTTGTTTTGCTCCTGGATCCATAACTGTTATTATTCTTTGTTTCATATCAAACGAATATAGGCTGTATTCTTCGTTGTAATGAAAAGGCACCAGTATCCAATAGGATGCATTAGTTTCATCTTCAGGGCAATTTTGAAATATGCTTTCCAGGTCTTCAGGTTTTGCCTTGGCGCGACATGTATGCATTTTTTTTGTAATTACTAATTTCCTGCACCAAAGAAGATATGTCAATATATGAGCATTCAAAATATTTAATTAATAAATATTCTTTTTTATTTGATGAGATACATACACATAGTCTTAAGTCTATCAAGTGGCAATATGGTTGGCATATTTCATCGAGATTCATCATGCGCACTCCTAGGTTGAAACAGTCAACATCCATAGGGCTTTTTGGATCAATAATTTTTTTTTAATTTTAGCTAGTGTAATTGTTATTGTCTATGGAGTAGAGCTTTGCACCCATTCTTGCCTGTAAAAGATATATATTGCATTAGGAAATTGAATGTCAATATATGGTTAACAAAAGCACAATTTTTTCCATAATATTAACGTTTGGTTTGTGTAGTAACATTTTTGTCATACCTTAAACTTTTCTCTTCTGTTATACACATGAGAAATACCTTTATCAAATAGGTTATCTCTTCATAGGTCGTTGGCATTTGCGATAGTGACCCATGCACATCTTCCTCAGTTTTATCTATTATAACACAGTCATTTGGATCTCCTCCTCCTACTTCTTCTTCTTCTTCCTCGTATTTGAACGTGTTAAATGGAGAATCCAATAGTATTGCCGCTAACTTTAATCTAAAGTTTTCCATGTCTTGCTGCGAAGATGTATAGTTCATTTTAAAAAAAAAATATATATATATAATAATGCTATGATATATATTTTTTGTTGCTACGGACCTTTTGAAACAATTAAATCTGACCTGTCCTTTTTGGTTTCTTTTGTCGAGAAGATTCCGGCATGCTTTTTTTATTGTCATCTGAAATTTCCATAATTTGTAATTCTTCGTTGTTGTTTGAATCTGATATTTGGTTGTGCTTCCTCTTTTTTTGATTTTCTGTTGAAGGACTCATGTCTGCATTTTGTGTTCTACATTCATCCGAATGAATGTTCTGGTCAAACAGATCATCAGATATTTCTTTTCTTTGTTCTTCTGGATTCTTTTTTTCCAGCAGCATAACAAATTTTATTAAGTTAGTATGGTTGTCAAAATTTGTAAAAGGATATTGTCCATTATTAAAGTGTATGTGTATTCAGACGTTTCATTTTTTTCACTTACCTTTGAAGAATCCATGTTTTCATGTGAATCCAAGATGTTATTACAGCTTTCATATTGTTCTGCTGAATCCATCTTGGCGCTTGATTCATTGATATTTTTTGAGTTCATTTTTTCCTGCATTAATAAGCATATTAACCTTGGATGGTCAAAGTCTTCAATGATATAATAATTTTATGATGTTTATTAAGGGAAGAAGAATGTAATAACATGGTAACAAAAATAGTAACTTGCTTACTAACTGTAAGTAATCCTACAGGAAATTTATTTTCAGAGCAATATTTTTTCAGTTTAAAACTTGTTTGTTTTTGCTTGTAGTGTTTTTAAAAGATTTTGGACGAACACATGGTGAAAGTCTGCAATGATCAGTACATTTTGACCAACAAATATACTAATGGCTGGCGGTCTTCAGGTATTCTCATCTGAACTATATTTTTATTTCGTATTTTTATATTGAAAATTGGCACATTTCATCTCCATAATGCTTATTTGCTTTTATTTTTGTGATTATAGTCAGTGGACAAAAGTTTTAGGTCGTTATCTTTTTTTTTTTTGAAGCCAAATATGATGACGCTAATATTCATATAGCAATGGAAGAACGTACTTGTAATGGAGCAGACGCAGCAGATCAGGCACGGTTAGCGTGTATTGCGACGTTTGGGTGAGTTTGGCGGTTGGCGTCACCTGGACGTTCTTTGGCTTCTCGATGAGCTGTATGCGGCGATCAGAAACACGTGTGTGATTAGTCTGTATTTATGTATATAGCAATTCTAAAACAATCAGATTTGTGGATTCGTAGAATAGCACAGCATACTACTTACGACCTTGGTGCTGGCAAGCAAGGCGCACTATGCCAGATTTGCACATCACTGCCGACATCATCACTGTTGGATTTGTGCGTTATGAGCTTGAAATTAAAAAAATAATTGGGGCTGGACTAAAACCGGCAGTCAAGGACCACATCACTCCCGGTTTGTGGCTTGAACCGGCAGTGTTTTGGCGGCCACTCATCACTACCGGTTTAAGCCAAGAGCCGACAGTGATTGAGCTCTATCACTGTCGGTTCTAGCTAAGAACCGACGGTGATAAGCCTACAACACAAAAGATTGCAGTCGTCCTCTCCTTCCTTCTCTCTTCCATCCCGAGAACAGAGGCACGCGTTTGGACCCTTCTCTCCATGTTGCGGCTGCTCTTCACCATAAAGCTAGTGCTTGGATTTTGAAGAATGGCTTGATCTTTTTACTTTAAGGTTAGTAATAAACATCCACTCCTTTGATTTTGTTGTTTAATTAGCTTCGTTTTGATGGCTACATTGCTTAATTCTCATTCTAATTCTTTTTCCATTCTAGAGAACACTTTTTCAATTGGACATTTGTGCAAGGCTCAAATTGTAGTGAATCCATCATCCAAACGGTTGGTGTCTATGAACACATTTAAATTCCTAGCTAATTATTCCATGGTGGTCAAGATCATCATTGTTAGTATGTGATGCTATAATTAGTTCTTATAAGTAGAGTAGAATAGATGCTCTTTATTATTGCGTAATAATTGTTTTTTACTACGATTTTTAATTTATAGGGCTGAGGCTACCAATTTTAATTTTCCAATAATTAGTGTACAATAAAGTTTTCCAAAAATGGTACTTTCGAGCTACAATTGTTGTTCATGAAGCTCGATTTCTTATTAATTCTTTGTAATTACTGTCTCAGTATTTTTTTGTGAGAGATGGATCGAGAGTAGATGCATCTGTCTCGAACGGACAAGCGGTACATATGGCGTCAGCCAGTTTATCACCGATGTCAAAGTCCATGCTGGGAATGGAAACCCTGTCTTCTGCCCATGAAAAGATTGCAAGAATCATAGGAACTTTCGTCAAATTGAGTCTATACGATCGCACTTGAATGCCAGGGGGTTCATGCCAAACTATACGATATGAACTATGCATGGTGAGGTTGGTGTGAATGTTCTGCAGGAAAACGATGATGATGTGGACATGCCTGACGTAGCCATCCACGATGCTGACGAGGAACCCTGTGTCAATACGGAACCTATGGCCACAGTTAATAATATGTTTAGGACCACGCTAGCTGATGACACCGAGGATAATGATGGCATTTCTCAGCTACTACGTAATATAGAGACTGGATGTCTTAGTGAAAGACAGCTGAGAAAGCTAGAGAAAATGAGACAAGATGGCAAAACACCATTGTATAGGAATTGTCCAATGAGCAAACTGGAAGCCGACATCATGTTGTTAGAGTTCAAATCGACAAACGGATTGAGCAATAAAGGCTTCGATCAGTTGTTAGGTATAATAAGAAAATGCTCCTAGAAAAAAAAAACGAGTTGCCAGAAAAGACATACTAGCCAAGCAAATGATCTGCCCCATCGGCCTCGAGGTTAAAAAAATCCACACGTGTTCCAATGATTGCATATTGTACCATAGAGAAAAATACAAAGACTTGGACAAGTGCCCCAATTGTGAAGCTCCACGGTACCAGAAAGGGCCGTCAGATGAGGGTACCAAGATCAGAGAAGGTCCCGTAAAGGTCGTTTGGTATTTTCCTATAGCTCCCCGGATGCATAGGCTGTTTGCATGTGCAAACTCAGCCAAACTGTTGCGCTGGCATGGCGAAGAGCGTAAGAAAGATACAATGATGAGATATCCCATCGATGGGCATGACTGGAGGACTATCAATACTATGTTCTATAAAGACATCGGTGGAGAGGTAAGACACCTTTGGTTTGCTTTGAGCACAGATGGGATGAATCCTTTTAACCAGTTAGAAGCAATCATAGCACCTGGTCAGTGACGCTCTGTATATACAACCTTCCACCTTGGATCTGTATGAAGCTGTCGTACATCTAGATGTCACTACTAATCTAAGGGCCAAGACAACCTGGGAATGACATCGATGTGTTTCTGGAACTAGTGATCGATGAACTAGTGGAGATGTTTGAAAAGAGTGTGCCGGATGTTTGGGATGAGTACAAAAAGGAACATGTCATGATCAAGGGAGTACTTATCGCTACAATCACCTAGTTTGGGATTTTCCATGTGCCACGTGTGAAGGAAACACCTAGTTTGGGATTTTCCGGAGATGGTTTGCTACTTTCTGAGGTTTAATTGAATTTCCACGCGACGACACCGTTTAATTATAGGTTGAACTGAGTCTACCCACGAAAAGATCTAAAATGGTGTCAAACTTTTACACAGGCTCTAATGTGCCCTAGGGATAAGAATTTTGTGGAGGTGGATGACAAAATCTATTGGATACTAGATGAAATTCACCATCTTTTGTCTTATTCGGCACAAAGAAAAATATAATAAATAAAAAAACTGATCAGAAAAACCTCAGATCCTGTGTGGGGTCTTAATTTGGGTGTACATGCTTGCCAAAAAAATTTTAAGCCATTTCAATATAGGCGGAGTATACATGCTTTCACAGAGGTACATGTGTCTTTTCATCGAACCATGACTATACACATAGATTATCAAGGTTTCTGTGGTTTGTAGGCATTCCGATGTCGTATTCATCTCAAACTTTTTCTTAGGTTTGCACATGCCACGTGTGAAGAAAACACCAAGTTTGGGATTTTCCGAAGATGGTTTGCTACTTTCTGAGGTTTAATTGAATTTCCGCGC